TGTGTTGATTGATTCATATCGTCAACTCATGCATTGAGTAACATTACAAGTTAACGTTCCACCTTAAAAGTTGCTGGCAGTTGGCCCAGTGAATGAAGTTATATTTTCTCTGACTGCAGCTGCTGCAAGAGGCAGCAAAACGCCCTTTCATTTTGTAGTTCCAGTTTACTAATAAAACTCTCCACGGTATGACCAGTGGTTACATAAGTCTCAAAACCAGCCACATCTCAGCCCTGAGCAGACTGACCATCCGCTGATGACCAGTCAACTGACTGCAGTGTTCACAGCTCCACCTTTTAGTACCAGATATGTGTGCTAGGTACCCCAACAGAGGGGTGATAAAAACAATGGGGACGGTACGCAACAGTTCCATTGTTACCATCCACAACTTTTCACAGTGGAAAGAGAAAAATGTGTACCGAACTGAACTGTACCGTACTGCTTGGTGGAAACAGGACTTATGAGGATTGACTCGCTTCTGGACCCAGCCTCAAGTGGCCATTTTAGGAACTGCAGTTTTTGGCACTTCCTTGTTTGGCTTCGTTTTTCAGTCCTGATGGTTGCTGCTTGGGCAACAGCAGAGATGGAGGAAACTGTCAAATTGAAAAAGATGACCTTTTGGGTTTGTTAGCCTGGGGGACTCCTGAATCAGCACAGAGACAAATCTGCCCTGTATGTAAAGGTTTACACCTTTTCTTTTGTCGAGAAATCTGACAAGGAGATCCTGTAGAAGTAGTTATACTGTATGTTAAAGATATAGTCTTCAGTGTTATTAAAATAAAGGTGATGATCTACAATTTTGTTTTGATATTTAGTCTAGTTTTAACAGTTGTGCAGTTATCAGCCACTTCAGCAAGAAGCTTCAACTGTTGGAAACACCACAGAAGCAAACTAATGAATGAAATCAATTTTGCATTTACAAATCTCCATCAGATTTATGTGTTTCAGTTGCATTCTGAACCACAAAGGGCCAACAAGGGAACACCACAGGCTGAGCGTTCTTTTGCTTTTTGCACTTTCCTTCACTTCCTTCCTTTATTATCGTTTAACACTGATCCACATCATGTCACAGTGTTGTGTCTTACAAATTCTGCAGCTCTGTTGTTGGTGTTCCTCTTTTTTAGGGGCAGGAGAGCTCAGGGCTCGACCAGTTTCCCATGGACCTGCATCAGAACTCGTGTTACCTGTTCTGGATCCTGGAGGAGCTCCTGCAGAAGTCAGAGGTACCGTGCAGGGTGGAGGTGGGGTCGGAGCAGATGGGCCTCCTCAGTCACTTGGAGCAGCGCGTCTTTCTACTGTCAGATGAGTTCCCCTTGTTTTGCTTTGGCATGTGGAGGATAGGACGTTTCCTCACCTCCTCGCACAGGGAAGAGCAGGGGCCATCAGGCACATTCAGGGGTTTGCTTTCCACTTCCTCATATGACCAAAATAGTTTGAAACGTCAGGGTTTGGTCCAGGATGATTCTGTACAACATTAGTTAAGATATCGAGCACTTAAACCTAGTGGACAGTGACTGCTATTCAATGATACTCATACTTATTATCCACCTGTATTTCACATAAAGCCCAGAAAGTTCAGGTTGGGGAAAAGTAACACATACTAAAATTGATCATTTGAAAGTATTCTGTCAAAAGGTGGACATCAAGGCTTCTCTTATTGTTTACTCTCAAAAAATTATTGTTGACGTAGAAGTAGTTGGCAAATACCAACACATTTGGATTTTAATCTTTTTACATGCTTAGTGGAGTTTAGTTTGCAATAGCTGCCAAAAAATGTGGGACATGTTTGTATTTTGGGCTCATTCTGTTTTAATTTGTTCATTCTGCTAACTGGTGTGAAATTCATAACTGCATGACTGAGTGGGAAAAAATATTTTCTAATAGTTGTTTACTTATCTATCCCGTCATTAAATTTATCTGTAATTGAGTAAAAAACAAAACCTTTTTTAAAAAGTTTTATCCTGTCAGTGTTGTAGCGACTTGTTTGACTTGGAAGTGCTTTTTTAAATTGAGTAATAAAACTGAAACCATCAGTGCAAGGCACAAAATTACTATTGATTATTTTAAGTACTAATAATGTACTAATATGAATCCCAATCTGTAATGCATCAGTGAAGAGTGCTTAAAAAGTCCTGTTTAATTTATGTGAGGCTCTCTACATTATCCTTCGCCATGACTGTTAGAGACTCTGGTGTTGAATCAGTGGGAGATATCTGTTTTTGTACTTCCTGCAGGGGTTCAGTGAAGATCTTAAAATACTACACATGCGTGAGAAATGGATTGAGATCATCTCTGTCTTGTTGACGGTTAGGGAAAAGTGTTAAAACTTTATAAAATGATGTGAGGAAACAGTTTTCATTTCTGATTCATTTAGAACGCAGTATGTGTAATGGCACTCCTATTATTTTATGTGGTACAGTGAAGAGTACGCTTCATGTTGAAGATGAAAATTTGTTTTGATGGGGGTGGTAATCACCAGAGGCCTTACAAAATGGAAGGTTTGCAATACGTTTTGCAATATGCTGAATATTGTAAGTAATTCACATTATTCTAGTAGGCTACCAAAATTTTGTTTTTGCAATATAAAATATGCATATAGTAAAAAAAATTGATACTTGGCATCTGCGTATTGAGTATTGCCATGCAAAATATCACAATATCGATTATTTCCCCCACCCCTGGTAATTACATGTATGGATTAAGAACAAAACATTACAACACAATAACAAAACAAAAACTTGCTGCAGACTCAAAAAGAAGCAGCTAACTGAAGCTTAAACTTAATACACATCCATGTCTTATAATATGCAACTTATTTACCTTCAAAAGTAACAACGAAAAAATGTACATCTGCACTAAACTTATACCAACATGCCGTTCTGATGGCAGAATTTTCTGTTCATTAGATGCGTGTTTAATTCTTTACCTTTTAACTTAAAATGTGTGCTGTTCGCAGTTCCTCACAACTGTTCCATATATGTATATACAGTACAGGCCAAAAGTTTGGACACACCTTCTCATTCAATGCATTTTCTTTATTTTCATGACTATTTACATTGTAGATTCTCACTGAAGGCATCAAATCTATGAATGAACACATGTGGAGTTATGTACTTAACAAAAAAAGGTGAAATAACTGAAAACATGTTTTATATTCTAGTTTCTTCAAAATAGCCACCCTTTGCTCTGATTACTGCTTTGCACACTCTTGGCATTCTCTCCATGAGCTTCAAGAGGTAGTCACCTGAAATGGTTTCCACTTCACAGGTGTGCCTTATCAGGGTTAATTAGTGGAATTTCTTGCTTTATCAATGGGGTTGGGACCATCAGTTGTGTTGTGCAGAAGTCAGGTTAATACACAGCCGACAGCCCTATTGGACAACTGTTAAAATTCATATTATGGCAAGAACCAATCAGCTAACTAAAGAAAAACGAGTGGCCATCATTACTTTAAGAAATGAAGGTCAGTCAGTCCGGAAAATTGCAAAAACTTTAAATGTGTCCCCAAGTGGAGTCGCAAAAACCATCAAGCGCTACAACGAAACTGGCACACATGAGGACCGACCCAGGAAAGGAAGACCAAGAGTCACCTCTGCTTCTGAGGATAAGTTCATCCGAGTCACCAGCCTCAGAAATCGCAAGTTAACAGCAGCTCAGATCAGAGACCAGATGAATGCCACACAGAGTTCTAGCAGCAGACCCATCTCTAGAACAACTGTTAAGAGGAGACTGCGCCAATCAGGCCTTCATGGTCAAATAGCTGCTAGGAAACCACTGCTAAGGAGAGGCAACAAGCAGAAGAGATTTGTTTGGGCCAAGAAACACAAGGAATGGACATTAGACCAGTGGAAATCTGTGCTTTGGTCTGATGAGTCCAAATTTGAGATCTTTGGTTCCAACCGCTGTGTCTTTGTGAGACGCAGAAAAGGTGAACGGATGGATTCCACATGCCTGGTTCCCACTGTGAAGCATGGAGGAGGAGGTGTGATGGTGTGGGGGTGTTTTGCTGGTGACACTGTTGGGGATTTATTCAAAATTGAAGGCACACTGAACCAGCATGGCTACCACAGCATCCTGCAGCGACATGCCATCCCATCCGGTTTGCGTTTAGTTGGACGATCATTTATTTTTCAACAGGACAATGACCCCAAACACACCTCCAGGCTGTGTAAGGGCTATTTGACCAAGAAGGAGAGTGATGGAGTGCTGCGGCAGATGACCTGGCCTCCACAGTCACCGGACCTGAACCCAATCGAGATGGTTTGGGGTGAGCTGGACCGCAGAGTGAAGGCAAAGGGGCCAACAAGTGCTAAACACCTCTGGGAACTCCTTCAAGACTGTTGGAAAACCATTTCAGGTGACTACCTCTTGAAGCTCATGGAGAGAATGCCAAGAGTGTGCAAAGCAGTAATCAGAGCAAAGGGTGGCTATTTTGAAGAAACTAGAATATAAAACATGTTTTCAGTTATTTCACCTTTTTTTGTTAAGTACATAACTCCACATGTGTTCATTCATAGTTTTGATGCCTTCAGTGAGAATCTACAATGTAAATAGTCATGAAAATAAAGAAAACGCATTGAATGAGAAGGTGTGTCCAAACTTTTGGCCTGTACTGTATATGTACACCTCGACAACTGAAATATGTGTTTATTTTGGCAAGTTTTAAGTGACATTTGGATGCTTTCAGGTCTTTTTTTAGTGTTAATAGAATACTTTATTTCCTAATATTGATGATCCTTTTATTTTTCACAAGCTATTCCCTGCATTTTCATCAATCTGGCATCTACTGTAACACATTATGGTGAAATTGTTTGTTGGTGCTCCTTTAATATTAATGGTATTCTAATCAAAACATTACAAATGCAAATTGATACACAAACCCTACTTAAAATCACATTGAGTTTCCTTTATAGAGCCCTTAAAAATTATGGCGGATACATTTTGTGTTGCCTCTTTTCTGAGAAGAGCTGCCTCATACTTGTTCAGGTCTAGCATCTCTTTAGCTGAGGTGCTGGAGCTGTAAGCTATCCAACTGAATGAAAAAATGCATTCACACACTCATTTTATTCAGAGGAATATTCACTGTAAATAGAAATACAGATGAAATGGGGGGTTTCTTTACCCCCAAAACATGCAGTGGACTTTGCTGTATTTCCTTTCCTTGTATCTGCAGTCTACCTTTACATAGCCTAAAGGGCACACCGGAAATACAGAAGTAATTTGCTGCTGCTCATTCTGTCTATTGCTGTGAGCTCATGCTGATAATTAGAGCTGAATCTGATGAGTATATCAGCATTTTTTATTAATTACTCTTTTCTCTATGGGGTTCGGCAGCTGGACTGTCAGATGGCAATATTAAGAGAAATAAGTGAGTAACTCAAGCAAGAAAGAAGGACCAAAAAAAGGTGGACATTTCCTCCCATCTCCAGTGGAAATTAGGCCTTGGCTTGCACAAGTAGAGATTATTGAAATGGAAGCTACAGCAGCCCTCTGCTAATGGATGCTATGCCTGCATCTGTTTCCTAATGCTCTGTTAGCCTTTCATCATTCCCAGGTTTGGATCTTACCCTCTCCTCAAGAAAGCGAGTGCCTCCATCTGCAGTGATGTTCTCCTCTCCCGCTGCTTATTTGGTGTCTGCAATAATGGATCGGGCATGAGCGCAGCTAAATAAGTTTCCTGGTATGTCATGAATTACCAGAGGCTCATGGGTCCCGGCTGCGCAGATAGCTATCGCCACTATTGTGTCTGCTTTGGGTTTCTGCCCGACTCTGTCTGTGATCTCCTCATCTTTCATATCCTGTTGAGAGCACAGCAGGGATAGGCAGCGCTTTAAAAAAATCAAAATGGACTGCTCATACGTGCACTGATGGTTAATGTGCCTCAGTGGGACTGACAGCTGCAGAAAATGGTGGGTTGCGTCATCAGCAGAGAACCCAACTGAGAGTCTTAGCATATGCGGATTAGCTGTTTCATCAGTAGAGATTTACATTTGGATCATGAAAGGAAGCTATAGGATATTAGAATCTGCCTACTAATACATTAAAGCTGGGGTGGACAGAAATCTGGAAAAAGCAGAAAATCCCAGCAGTATTTGAAAATACTCTGACCTCCTGCAGCTTTCTCTTCTCTGTCCTAAGCTCCTCCCACCAATCAGCCACCGGCATATGCACACGCTTCATACAGTAACTCAGTGTTTCCCATACATTGATTTATTTAATTTTATTTCATTGTACACTTGTGCGCAGCACATTCATTCATACCCTGCTCCCTCTCTGTTTATTACAAATGACACAAGAATTAGTTTGCTAGCCACCCCATGGTCCCTCCGCCTTGCTCCCTGCCACTATCAACATCTTCTGCCGGTGTAAAGCAGGCTGCAGCTCCATTGGTGGCTGTAGCAGCTCGAATTCGGCCAGCGCAAACCCTCCAGCACTTGATAAGACAGCAGGCAGGTGGTCAGTGGCAGCACCAGGACTA